GGGTCAGACCCTGAGCCCCAGAGAAAGGGACCCCTTCAGCATCCCAACAGCCTGAAGGAACTGTGGGATTCCCCCCACTTTTTGGGGGGAAACTGAGGCAGGAAGAAGGGAACCCCCCCTCACGCTCCAGAGCAGGACGGCACAGGCGCATTTTTGGGGAGCCATTTCCCACGGCAGACCCCAACACCAGCTTTGGGAATTCCCCTTCCCAACCCTGACCTGCTCCAGATCACCTCCCCACTGCACCAAATGTTGGGTTTTCCAAGTGGAAGCGGCGCCGGATCCCGGCAGGGCGGGCAGAGCCGGGGTCCCGCTTGGTGCCATGGAATGGGAATTCACTGGGAATATGAAATGCACCTTTTCCCCCCAGGTGTTTTGGGTAATTATCTATGTACCCACAGGCCGCCCACGCCGTGCACTTCCCCACTGGCTACGTATACACACATATATACATGTACATGTACGTGCATAGATGAGATCCCTTGGGATCATGAGCATGGGATGAGCGACTCCGGTGCCGGCACAAGGGGCTGGACATTGGGAAGAGGGGCCGAAAGCGGAGCGGGAAGCGGGGAACCCCTCATGATGTGGAGGCAGGAGGAGCACAGGCAGAGGGTTCCGAGCCCCCTCGGCACAGCCAAGCAACCGGCACCGACCCCCCCAATTTCAGCACCGACCCCCTGCCCCGGCGCGGCCGTGGGAAAACAGGAAACTGGAGCTATGATTAGAAAAGGGAATTTTGGAACTGCTCCCCCATCCCAGCAGGTGCCCCTCGACCTCTGTCCTTCCCATCCGTCCATCTGTCCCGCTCCCTGTCCCGCCAGGAGCCGACAGCAGCACCCACACGGATGAACCCCAGCCATGTGGCCCCCGAGCCACCAGCAGGACACGGCACAGACCCCCCACCAGACCCAGGACCCCCCGTGCAAAGCTGGACAGGGGCTGCAAAGCCACGGAGGGTATTTTGGGGAGAAAAGCGCAAATATCACGTGTTTCCCCGCCCCCACCTGGGGAGGGCTGGCTAAAGAAACGAGGAGTTATTGGTAAAAGCGGCGTGCTCGGAGCTGGATGAACAAGAGGAGGGAAGAAATGGTCGGCGTTGCCAAAATAATGATCCGAATCCCTGTTCCTGTCCCGGTTTCGTGCGGTAAATCCCGCGGTGTTTGGTCGGGAACGGCGTCCCCCCTCTCCCGGGGCTGGGGGAGGGAGTGGGAGAGGGGAGAAAGCAGATGGAAAAATATAGATATGTATATATATAAAAACTCCCTTTTTTCTCTTTTCTCAGCTAACTATGAAAAATGGAAGCTGACATGCAGCAAAGGCGGAAAAAAAGGAAAATCCATTAAAATGGAAATTGTGGAGGGTGGGGAAATGCGGCGGCGCATCTCTGCGGGGCACGGGGGTGGCAGGGCTCTCTGTGCCCCCACATTTTGGCTGGGCAGGGGGAAACCCCCCCGTGGGTAACATCTCCAGTGGCGTGGTCCCAACCATGGAGGGAAGAGCCCAGCATCCTCCACGGGCACCGGATCTGGGTGCTGAGGGGATGGCAAAGGTTATCCCAGGGGACAAGGAGGGTGCCCAAAGCACGGTGGGGACCCAAGCGGGAACGAGGGATGTGGGGAGAGCAAGCGGGAAGATGCGCAGAGCCCCAAAAGCGGGGGCTGAACCTCGGATTCCCACGGCATCACCGCTCTGCCAGGCCCCGGGGGGAAGCGGCAGCACCCTGAAGAGACCAAAAGCCTCCTTCCCGTGGGGAGGGAAGAGCGGGAGAAGCCGGAGAGCTGGGGCTGGGGGTGGCGAGGGGAGAGCGGGGGCTGCGGTGCCGGAGCCGTCAGGTGGTTGGTACTCACAGGGTGGCCTCTGGAGCCAGGTGGGCGCAGCTGCCTGGGGAGACGTGTCGCTGAGGCTCCAGATTGATGGGAGGTAGATGATGGCACGGGTGGGCACGAGCTCACTAGAGCCTTCCAACTTCCTACCCAACTGCCGCTAAGTCAAGCTACAGTTCTCTAGGGAACGCCTCTACCTTGGCAGCCCTCTCTGTCTCGCCTTCGCTGAAATAAAAAGAAACAAGAGATTTCTTTTCACGGCACCGCCGGGAGAAAAGGGGAAGCTCAAGGGGCAGCTCAAGGGGCAGCTCAAGGGGCAGCTCAAGGGGCAGCTCAAGGGGCAGCTCCTGGGGCCTGGCGAGCAACCACCGACCCAGCACAGCTGGAAAATGGGGGGCTGGGAGGCAAGGGGAGGGGTCTGGGGGGCAGCAGAGCAGCACTAGGTGGCTCGGCGTGTCCTCGACGCCGAGCGTGGTGTCCCCCTGAGTGTCCCAGCGAGGGCACCAGGGCACAGCTCCCGCCTGCCCTCCCCGTGCCAAGCGGCGAGCGCAGGAAAGCCGGCGGCGGCCCGAGACGGCGCGGTGGGCGAGAGCCGAGCAGGGGGAGGCCCCCTGAGTGTCCCCCCACCCAAATCCCACACCGGGGACAGTGACACCGCGTCCCCGGGCCAGAGAACCCAGCTCTGCCCCGCACTGTGCCCCAGTTTCCCCCCAAAACACAAGGCCCCCCCTAAGAACAAGTATCCCTGGGGTTTGCCTGGAGCAGGAGGGTTTTTGAAGGGAAAGCCCGTCCACAAACCCCCCACATGCCAAAGCCACCGGGGTGGGAAGCAGCATCCGGCCCCATCCTCAGGGAAGGCACATCCCTTCCCGCCCCGACTGTGCTCATCCGGGAGGGATTCACCCCGCAGCCGAGGGGGCAGGAGCCGGGAAGCAGGAAGGCCAGGAGAGCCCCGAGCCACGGGGGGCTCGGGGAGGGGGTGGCCCTGCGCCGCAAGAATTCACCCAAGATGGAACCAATTAAAGCCCCGGCTTCCGCCCCCCAAAGGGCCCTGGGCCGGGGCTTCTCCTCCTTCTGCATTTCCAGCAAAACCAACCCAAAACAAGCCCTCCGGGCCAGGCCGGGGGGTCTCCGCGTGGTAAAGGGGGTGTGCGGGGCAGGGTGAGGAGCCAAGCGCTGGCGGCAAGCGGGAGGGGGGCAAAGCCATGCTGGGGACCACCACGGGGTGCCCAAGTCAGGGAGAAGCCCCCAAAAGGTGGGGGCTGAGGCAGCATGACCCTGATTCTGCAGGGGGGGTCGTGTCACCCACGGAAGGGACACGGGGACAGCCCGGAGGGAGCCCGCGGGGGTGACGCTCACGCCAAACACGGGGCACACGTTCCACCAAAACGCACCAGCGAGGGGGGTCCTGCCCCCCCACACCCCAAACAGCCCCTTCGAGGAGACCCGCGAGGCAAAGGCAGCGCCCACAAACCAGCCTGGGGGGCAACCAACACCCCCCCCAACCGGCAAGGGGGGGTGACAGCACACGGGGACACCGAGGTACGGGCAGGGTTCGCCCCGAGGGGGGAGCGGACGCGCCGGATCCAACATGCACTTGTCGTGACATCGCACCCACCTCCCGAAAATCCACATTTTTAAGGGAAGAAAACACGAGGAGGAGGGGGGGGGGCGAGGAAGAAAATGATTATTTCAGGCGTATAAAGGCACGTTTCTTAAAAGGGAAACATCGAGGGGTCTCATTTATGCTGGGAGTGGGCAGGGGGCAGGCAGGGAGCCTCCCCAAGCCCCCCCAGACCCCTCTGCCCCTACTTGCATATAAACATATATATCCACACGTAACACCTGGACTGTGGTGTGCATATATACATTATTTCCACCAGCACACAAACGCATGCATCCTCAAGTCGTAACGCTATTCCAGCGTGGAAACACACAGAAAAAAAACAGGGATTTTTTGTTTTTCTCCCCCTCCATCCAGCCCAGCAATGCCCACCTCTGCGAGTACTGGCGTTGCTTCCCCTTATCCGCGTCCATCTCCAGCTCTAGCTGAGACCGGGTGCTGCACGTGGGGCGTTTTTCTACGGGGGGACAAGGAGGAGGACAACTTCACACACCCCGAACCCCCCGCCAGCCCCCGGCGCGCGAGATCCCACAGCGGAGGAACAAAAGCGAAGCGGCTCCGACCTACCCGACCCGTGGGAACGTGGGGTTTTGCCTGAAAATAGAGAGAAAACAACAAAAAAAAAAAAAAAAAAAAAAAAAAAAAAAAAAAAAAAAAAAAAAAAAAAAAAAAAAAAAAAAAG